GGCCCCGGGCAGGAGGCCGCCGGGCGGAGGCGGGCGCGGCAGCGGCGCCCGCTCCCCGCGGCTTGGGAGGCCGCCTCGGTTTGTGTGGGCGCGTTAGCGTGGCGCCTTCCGTGTTAGGCAAGTGTCGTGAGTGGTCTGGCATCCGTAGACGGGCCCGTTCGGCGGGGGCGCCGGGCTTTAGCTTGTGTCGTGTTCTTGGCGTTGTGGTGGTGAAGGGGACTTCGGGGTGGGGGTTAATCCTTGGAGCGGCCTCCACGCGCTCGGCTGCGGCTGTTTCGGGAACGGGCCGGCGGGACGGAGCGCGCGCGCCTCGGAAAGCAGCCGGTGGCCCGCGAGCGCATCGCTGGGAGTGGAAGGCGGAGGACGTTTCGAGCCCGGCTGGCGGGAGGTTCCTCCCTCCGGAGGAAGGAAAGCCTTCCTGGCTCAGCAAGACGAGGTGGAGCTGGAGAGGGAGTGAAGGGGACGTAGCGGAATGCTGCACTTTTCTTTCCTGTTTCTTTTCCTGCTTTGTAATAGGAAGTCTTTGGGGTGTAGTGCATAGAGGATGCCGGACCAAGCTGTTGGCATCGGGGCTTTCCTCTTTTAGAAGACGGGGGGCTCCCCTTTGACTAGGGTTCATGCCCAGGGTTCCTGGGCTGAACCAAACTACAGATGTTGAAAACCAGTCGGATTTCATTAATCATCCAAAATGACTGATGGTTTAATTGTGGTTTAATGGATTTGTTAATAAACCCATTTTAAAGTCACTGCAGCCGTCTTTGGTGTTTTGTTTTGTTCGTTTTGAATCGGGGCCAGGTGGTCTCCTCCATAAGACCCCTCCCCATCCATGCAAACAGAAAACTAGCATGTCAGGAAAGCCCGGGCTGGAACCATTGCCCCTTACATGCCACAGTTCTGTCTTTATCCTGTTGTACTGTTTCCACACCATGCATAAATTTGTCCACTTCTGCCATGTCTCCCCTTCCTCGCCTTCTTTCTGCGCTCAACAATCTCAGCAAACCTTCCTCACAGCAGCTGCTCCAACACTTGGATCCAGTTCCCCCTTTTCTGCCCTTTCTCCAACCCTCCAATGCCCCCTTTTCTGGTACATTGACCAGAACTGTGCTTAGGTTTCTAAGCCGAGTCACACCATAGATTTCTATCAGGGCAAATAAGACACCGGCACTTTCATTTTCGATCCCTTCCTAACGATGCTTAATATGAAGTTTGCCTCTTTTTAAACTGCCTCTTTTCCCTGCACACGTTTTGCCTTTTTTCGCCAACGATGTCAGCTTGTGGGTTGACATGATCACCCATCTGCCCACTGCAACCCCAAATTCCCCTTCTTGGCCTGCCACTCCCCGCTCCAACCCCATCAAGTTGCACTTAAAGTTGAGACTTTTTGCCCTAACCTCCATCGCTCTGTGCTTGAATCCGCATCAGCCCTTCGGTTGTGGTTCCTCAGGATAATTTTCAGTGGTATCTCCTAAGCAGGCGAAAAGGAAAGAATATGCAGAGGGAGGGGTGCTCCCAAATGTTAGCAACCCCTGTGGCAATTTTTGGTGAGGCCATGGCTTTTCTTCCAAAATGTCCCATGTGCCCAAAAGTCCCAAAAATTCCTAGCACTGCGCCAGCCGATGGAGGTGTTTTACCTTGCCAGAGGTATTTAAAGATTGTATGATATTCTGCCAATAGGATTTACTTTGTATGCAACCTTGAGAAGGCTTCGCCCTTAAAACTGTCCAAATATAGGTTCAAATAAATTCATGCAGATGTTTCTCATAATCAAAGGCTGAACTGCATGGGGTGGGGGTGGGGTGCTTGAGAAATTTGTTTTTGTGAATTCACATAGGAACTGGCTTGGTCCACAGTTTCCAAACTAGCTATGCATGGGAGTACATGTGAACAAGTGCAGAGGCACGGCTTGTGTGTGTGGATGGGTTGACCAAGAGCAAAGAATAGCCACCTTGATCTAACGTTTGCCTTGCATGGTAAAGCCTTTCCTGGACTTCGCCACTTCAAGCAGTAGGGGTGTGTGGAGGGGTGGGTTTTCCACCCCACCAAAAAAGCCACCAGTAAGACTTGAGGAAAGAATGAAGCCAACCCTTTCTCTCCTTAAAATGCTAATTTTCTATAAGCAGAGTGTTCTCCTTAGACGGATGGGATGCTTGGGATATGTGATCCCATATCTCCAGTGAGAAATGGCCCAGTCTAAGAAAAGCTATGCTTTAATACAGGTGTGTGTGGTCCTTATCCTTTAGCGTTTACAGTAACCTTGAGTCTTCACAGGTGAACCATGACAGAGTGTTTGTGAGAAGCCCGGAAAAAAACACCAGTGTAAAAGAAGCCCACTTTGTTACGATTGGAGACACCGCAAGTCAGACACTTATTCTTGGCATTTTTGGTATGACTTCAGGAGGGAGCAAAATTACCTCTTGTACAGAGACTCTCCATATTTGGATCAGGGCTTTGATTATTTGACCAAACAGTCTTGCAATTGACCCAGTAATTCACGCAGAAATCACTTTTTGGAGGGTTCCTGATCCTTCAGTCCATTTCCTGGAAAGAAAATCTGGCTCAACTCAACAGGGTTGGTTTCTGGTGTGGAATTACAGTCTTACTCACTGAAAAAGCTGGGATGCCCTTTAAACATGTAGGTCTGCTTTGGAATACGTCATCTTGGGGAAATGTCCACTTTCAATTCATGACGTGTCTTACAACCTTGGTTCTGGCTAATGTGATTCAGTTGACTAGCATGAGAAGAGCTGGCAAGAGTGATTCAGAGAAGATCAATTTATATAGAAGTGGAGACTCTTTATATTCTACAGTATTAGAGGTGGAGACTGAAAAAGCTCAGGAATCGTTAAAACCTCCCTTCTTTAGAGGGGATGATTTAATGACTGGTTTTGTGTAAAACCTGACTGTGTTTAAAGCCTTAATGTTGCTTTTAATTTGTGACTGCCTTTGAGGTTAAAAATTTGATCACGGTGAGCAATATTTGATATTTATTACATATTGGGTGTTATGAGACACTATGCTATCACATCATTACATATTTGGTCTTATAATATCATTACTATAAAAATGTAATGATTAAAAATAAAGCATCAGCTGGGGCTTGCAAGCTGTTTTCGTATAGGAAAGAAATACAAACATAAAGTATTTTTTAAGCTGTTCGGGTTTAAAATAGGTTTGCATGGAATGAAACTATATATTTAACTAGACTGCCTCTATCACTGCTCTGCCTTGGAAGGGATAATTAACATTTGAATCCAACGAGCTCTTTGAAGTGTGCAGGTTTGTCTCTAGATATGTGACATCTCCCCACTTTAATCTGTCTCCAGTAGGTGGGAAAAGAGGTGATTTCTGAACCCCCATCTGCTCTCCAAAGTCCCAGCTTTTGGGGTGGCTTTGGAACCCCAGCAGAAAGTGCCTGAGGCTCTAAGAAAGCAAACTCCTAAAAAAAAACCTGGGTGGAATTTTCCCTCAGGGAATTGCAGTCAGCATAAGCTTGACCTACAGTTTTCAGCAAGTACGGGTCATTTATTCTTCTATTCTTGCTGAGGCCATACAAACTGAGCAAATACGTGTAACCATGGCAGACCTGTTGACTTTTCTCTGCATAACAATGGTTTGGCCTACAAATGTAAAACAAAAGCAAAAACAAAAACCAAAAAAAAAAAACCCATGCTTTTCCTCCATGGATTTTCCATCTGTTTGCTGGAGATTTTAGCTGAAAATCTTGGCTCTAAAATGAGACCAAGATGATCCTAATTGAAACTTGCTTTGCGTCCTTTGGGGGGACTTTTGTCTGGGGTCACAAAGTCACCCCACCCAGTTATTACTGTGGCGCTTCTAGATAACAATGTGGCTTTGGCACCTTATCGAGTTTTACTAATTTGCTCGGGAGATTTCTTATGAAAATGAGCATACTTGGGATACTATCCAAGGTTAGTCTTACACAGAGTAAATCCATGGAAATGAATGGCACTTAAGTTGGCCACATTTAACCAAATTCTCATTCATTGTCATGGGTCTACTCCATGTAGGACTAACACCGGCCTGGTGTTTTATCGTTCAAGGAAGCATGAATAAATTATCCCTGCAGGCTAAAGAGCTGCCAAGTCCAGCTCTCTGAATAAGCTCCATAGATTTACTCTCCATGGTCACCAGCACCGCAACTGGAAGAGCGAAACCTTCCCCTGATCTCTCCGTCCCATTCTGTGTTAAACCTTGTGGCTGGAAAGTCTTGCCTTGCATGTCAAAACAAAGGTAAGCAAACTTCCGAGGCAGAGGGGGCAGCAAGTGGGCTGGGCTCCTTTAAAGTTGTCGTGCTTGGTGAGGGAGGGCCCCAAAGAGCTGGCAAGAAAGCCAGTTCTCGATGTTTTGTCATTCATCCGTGTGCCGTGGCGCAGCGCCATGTGAGAAGACGCAGGGGCCGCTCCGGGTGGCTCTGAGCAAGCAGGGGCAACCTAGTGGGCAGCCGAAAGGGCCTGAAAAACCAGATCCTACAACCCCGAGGAGCAGGAGGCATGTTTCACAAGGAGGGGGGGAGCAGCACCTCCGAAACAAACAAAACCCGAACATAGTCCCGAGAGGCACTGATGCAACGGGGGGGTCTTTTGTTTTAATGAAAGCGCCCCGTGACTTTTCTGCGGGAACTCTGGAAAACCTCCAGCAGCACCCCCTGCGTGGCAGCCGGGAAGGCAGCTTCTGGCATATCTCGGGGGGCTGAGTTCATGGCCCCACCCAC